GCAGGGCCTTCCAGTGCTGTGTGTGTATGCACGCCTGCACATGCATGAACTACCCCTTGCATTTTGGGAGGAGAGGAATACTTGCATGCTGGGGAATACAAGGAAAGTAGGCTGACTACATATCCTGTTTTACAGAGGGCAGTCCTCTGTTTGAAGGCATCTTTTACCAGAAGGGAGAGGAGGGGCCCCCAGGGCTCATAGGGTGAAGGAACCCACCAGCCCAGAAACAAGCTCCCTTGGCCACGACACCTCACAGGGTCACGGCCGATGGAGCTCGTTCTTCCACGTGCTGGCAAGCAAGGAGGCAATACAGGTACAATGGACAGCTCCCAGGTTGCCCTGGCAATAGGCAATCACAGACTATAGGCGATCACATATCAACAAATTCAGGTCACACAGTTATAGTTGGTAGGTCTTGCACAACAGGTCCCCTGGAAAGTGTGGGATACCACTTGTCTTGATATAATGTTGTTTAACTTCCCTGCAAAAAAAATAAGAATTAATGCTTATTAAGTATAGTGGTACCTTGGTTTACAACCACAATCCGTTCCTGAGGTCTGCTTTTGCCAATGGGGCCTCCCAAAAAAATTTGTTCATAATCCCCCCCAAAATGGGTTGTAATCCAAAAAAAGGTTGCAAACCGGGACACGCACTTCTGGGTTTGACATGTTTGTAATCCAAAACGTGTGCAAACCAAGACGTATGCAAACCAAGGTACCACTGTAGCCAACATCATCTAATCTCCCTAAAAACAAATCCAGCGGAATACTCAATGAACAGGTTGTCTGGAAGCGCCCTGTGTCTTGCTTGCTGTTTGTGCCAAGTTCTGCCTCCTCTCCAAGGACTGTGAATTTTAAAGGGCAGGAAGCATCCTGACTGGGATGCGCCACATTGAGTAAGACAGGTCACGCTGATGGTTCCTTAGGTGTGTCTTTAGCAAGGGTTGTTGGGGGCGGGAGGTGAAGACTTGGGACAGATGGTGTGGCACTTCTCAGAGAGTTCGTGCTTGGCAGTTTAGATGATCAGTGTGTCACTGAGTTCTTGGTGGGGTTTTTTTGGTTTTTTTAATGGTTCATATACAGCAGATTTTAAAAGCTTGGAAGCTGGAGCTGTTCAGTCCCACCACCACCCATTCTGTCTCATTCACACAAACTAGCATTACTTAAAAGAGTAAATAAAACACAAAGAGGTCTTATTGGCAAACACTTTTTTATTATTACAAAGATGTCTACAGATCCAAAGCCTACACGGCAGACTTGAGTTTCTCAGGGCTGCATTCTACAGCAGAGAGAGAGAGAGAGAGAGAGAGAGAGAGAGAGAGAGAGACAGAGAGCGCACACAAGGACAGGAAAGGGTGGAGCTTGGGAGATTGAGAGGAAGCCACAAAGTGTGTTGTCCCCTATCTGTTAGTCTCAACCCTGCCCTCTGCTGGCTGGAGGCCTGCAGGGTTGCTTACAGCCAACAGGAGTCTCATCTGTTTGGTCCTGGTCCAGGAACAATTAGGGTCTCTTCACATCAGGTCTGGTACTCAGGTTTTCTTTGGATAGAGTTATATGACTACAGGGGTTGAGTCACTGCTTAAGTCTAAGAATTTGACATCAGGCAAAACCAGTCAGTTCTCTCAGGTCGTTCGCCCTTTAAATGTCTCCTTTCTGCTTGTGGCACATTGAAGGCTAGATGGATTACATGGGTCAATGCGTGGCAGGTATATGGTGCAAATGTAGGTAGACAAGAAGTTCAGCAATGTGGCATTCGTGTCTCATGCTTTGATCGCTTTTCCAGTGCAGTGAAATATACAGTTAACGTTTCAATAAAGTGATTAAGAAAACATGATTCGCTGGAAACAAAAAAATGCCATCCACTTTTTCAATGCTATGCAGGACATCCCAGATATTTCAATCAGCTTTCAACTGGACTGGATATGGTCGGATTGGCTGCAGACTGGCTAACTTCTACGGCCAACACTAATATGTAAGTATGTGAATTTGCTGGTGCTTTTAATTATGGGGTCTGTCTAAGCTTAGTATTGAGTCCAGATATCTTTTGAAAAATTTAGTCTGGCTATTACAATCACTGCAGTCATGTTGTTTCCCATTGAAAAAAATTACAGTTTCAAAACTTAGCAACTTTCAAGAAATGCAACAGAGAATTATTTTGTGTTTTATGTGAATAAATGTATTATTATTCTGCTTCTCCGCCAATGAGCATACAGCCTGTTTCTCTTCCCTGCCCCTTTAAACCTTACAACATTCTTGTAAGGTAGGTTAGACTAAGAGATAGTGTCTGTCTCAAGGTTGCTGCATGAGCTTCATTGCTGAGTGAGGATTAGAACATGGTTTTCCCTGGGCCAAGTCAAAACCTTTATTTCCTACATCACTAAGCCTCACTAGATAGAGGTAAATCTTTTTGTTTCCTCTGGGATTGTGTGAACTGTAACTTGTAGATTTCAGTTCCTTAATCTGCCCTCTGTTTACATCTCACACTTGTATCAGTCTTGTAATGCCTGTTGTTGTTCATCACTTCTTTTTAAGCGACTTGCAACAAATACATAAATAGCACATGCATTAAAAACCAGCACAAAGCAAAGCAGAGAAAAATCTAAAACACATTCATGTTTTTAAAAGGCGGGACTAAAACATCCCATTCCACTAAAGGAGGCTATGTTATACAGTGGTACCTCGGTTTACGAACTTAATTCATTCCAGAAGTCCATTCTTACACTAAAAACGTTCTTAAACTGAGGCGTGCTTTCCCCAATGAGGCTTCCTGCCACTGGTGCCCTTCCACCAGTCGGCTTCTATTTGTCTTCCAGGGCAAAGTTCGCTAGCTGGAACACCTACTTCCGGTTTTGCGGAGTGCATTGCCCGAATTGTTTGTTAACAGGATTGTTCTTAGGCTGAGGTACAACTGTAGTTAAATCATGTGGGGGTAGGGTGTTCTGTTTATATCTTAACCAGGTCAATAAAATATGGGCACTGCTGTGTTTCAGGTTCACCTATGAAATTGCTCCAGTGTTTGTGCTTTTGGAATATGTCACCTTAAGGAAAATGAGAGAAATCATTGGTTGGCCAGGAGGTGCTGGTGATGGGATATTTTCACCTGGTGAGTGATCTTTTTTTAAACACCTATTTATGTCTGTAATGTATGATGTACTTTGTAGTCTGCAAGATTCAGAAGGGCGCTCGTTCACTCATAATCCTGAGTATCCTTTCTTGGGTACATAAAAAATGCATATTTATGGCAGTCCAGAGACATGATTATTAAAGACATTAATATCTGTCCCTGCTGAATACTTCCTTCTGCTTTGTAAACAGCCAAAGTGGGGAAATTAATCAGAAGAGACATTTGCCCGGTTCTTCTGTTACATTAAATATTTTTGAAGTGTTCTGAAATGAAAGAAAGGAATTACAGCTATTTTATTTAATATTTACTAATGAGGTAGTGGTGCTCTCTTGAGCCCTTTAGTAAATAGGAATAGAAACACAAATAACAAGGAATATGTACTCTCTCTCCTGTCCTTAAATCCAAGTTGCCCTGTAAATTTGTGTTTGGTTATTTTGCTTCTCAGGCAAAAGCAGCCTCTCAAAATAGTTTGGGGCAGCCTTCTCCAACTAGTCTGCTGGGGGAAATCCTACACTATGTGAACCCTGCAGGTTGGGACAGCCAGTGTGCATATAGATATTGTTGGACTCCAACTCCCATAAGCGCCAACCAGCGAGGCTGATGGTCAAGGATGATGGGACTTGTACTCCAACAACATCTCAAAGGAATCATGTTGGTTATCTGCCATACGGGACTTGACATTTGACCAGAAGAAAGGGGTGTCCAGACATGGAAGGAATATCTGGTCCCTCACCAGAGAAAGTCAGTTTCCCAATGGGACAGTTTCCCCCCATTCATTCCAATGGGAGAAGTACAGCTAACTAGGCTGGAATCAAACCCAGTGTATGTAGAGCCATTGGGCAAGCAGGGTATTTCCAAAATAAATATGCAGCCACAGGCACTTGAAAGTATCTAAAACAAGGGTGGGGAATCTTTCTAAGTCCAAGGGCCATGTTTCCTTGTGGGCAACTTCCTGAGGGTAGCATGGCAGTGTTGGGCAAGGAAAAGAACCCACAGATGCAACTCTTACCTTAGTATGGTAGGCTACATTCCAGCCATGCAATAATGAAAGGTTTCCATGCACACACCACATCTCTCCATTCTCTGTCTAGGGAAGCAATAGGCATAATAAACGTGGGTGGCGCTGTGGTCTAAACCACTGAGCCTCTTGGGCTTTCCAGTCAGAAGGTCGGCGGTTCGAATCCCCACGACAGAGTGAGCTCCCATTGCTCTGTCCCAGCTCCTGCCAACCTAGCAGTTCAAAAGCATGCCAGTGCAAGTAGATAAATAGATACCGCTGCACCTGGAAGGTAAATGGCATTTCCATGCGCTCTGGTTTCATCACAGTGTTCCATTGCATCAGAAGTGGTTTAGTCATGCTGGCCACGTGACCTGGAAAGCTGTCTGTGGACAAACGCTGGCTTCATCAGCCTGAAAGTGAGATGAGCGCTACAACCCCATAGTCGCCTTTGACTAGACTGAACCATCCAGGGATCCTTTACCTTTACCTTTTTACCTATAATCTCAGTTCAGGAACACATGGCCTGGGGGGAGTCCCAAGGGCCAGGCAGAGTGGTCTGGAGGGCTACTTTTCACTCCTGGGCCTGAGGTTCCCCATCCCTGTTCTAAAATGCAGCCCAAGGTCCAATCTACTGTAGGCAAACTCAAGGCTCAGTGGGTTTTCTCCGTGGCGGGTGGGAAATGGAGTTCCCTTACCTAAGATCAAGCCAGGCCCTCTATATGAGAAATGTCTCTTGTTTTGAAAAAGTTGCATGACCAGTACAGTTTGTGCTTAAAGCTTTTGTGCCGTTATGAATAGAGGAAGTAACGATGTATTACTGTGGACTCCAGGTGGTGCCATATCTAACATGTATGCTATGTTGATTGCACGTTTCAAGATGTTCCCGGAAGTTAAAGAGAAAGGAATGGCAGCTATTCCAAGACTGGTTGCCTTCACATCGGAGCATGTAGGTGTTTTCTCTTTCAACCTTTTGCTAGCTTCACTTCTTTGCTGATTAAACCAGGCTCCTTCAAACGCCCTTTGGGGAAAGACATAGCCACTTTCCTACTGTTAACATGAGAGTCCTCTGTTTAGTTTTTGCATACAAATGAGTCTTGAGCTATGACTCCCCTCCTTCTGAAATGTGCTGTGTCGGTTATGTTGGGAAGGTGTGTTTTTATGAAGCTGTCGAATCTCATGGTGACCTCTTGTAGCTTCCATTTATGTCCACCTCATCCAGCCTCCCCCAACATGGCGCTATCCATGCTGACCACACTGGCTGGGACTGTTGCTGTACTCCAAAACATCTGAAAGACACCAAGTTGGGGAAGACTAGACTAATGTAACTCCTGTGGTGTCCAAGAAAAAGACAGCCATCTGAGAGCATTTAGCAACATCAGCACTTCAGAGTTCAAAGCTCTTCCACATACGTTCTGTCAGCCCTTATTAAATTGCATTCGGTGGTTGACTAAACACCTAATCACTGAAGAGTCAAGCTATAGATGTTTAAGGTCTCCACGCAGAACTTCCCATTCATTTCACCAGGGCTTGCAAACAGAGCCTCATTTGCACAGGAATAAGGGCTTGCTGGATTGTTCCCCTAGGTGCTACTTCATGATTCTTTTACAGCTGAAGAAGCGAAGCTGCTGTAAACATTGCAAAAATAACCCATGTGCTTTTTCAGAGTCATTTTTCTGTGAAGAAAGGAGCAGCAGCCTTAGGAATTGGTACTGACAGTGTGATTTTGATCAGGTGTGATGACAGGTAAGCACAGCCTTATGAATGACAGCAGGAATAGCCATTCTTTGAAAGCAGCAGAAAGAATGATATTTTTTTAAAAAAAATCAAATGGCCTGTTCATATAATATAGCCTTGCCCTGTGTTGGGCTAAGGAAGCTCTGCCACATACATGCTGGGCATTTTTCAGAGAGTTCAAAAAGTGGTTTATAGCAGGTTTGTTGAGCCAAGCTCATGGCCCCAGGGCTGTACCAGCAGAGTTATATATTTTATGACCTGCACAATACATTTTTGGATTGCAGAAGGTCTGTCAAGCACCATATGGACATTAGTTAGTGAACTGTGAGTTCAGGAGCAAGGGCCCTTGAGTACATCAAATGTACTAAAAAACCATAACTCTGCATTCAGTCATTTGGTGTTTTCCACCCACTTCACTATGGATAAGTTGAGATTCACATAAACATTCAGATTTGCAAAAAAACAAAACAAAAGTATACATTATTATTAATAGTACCGTACTAAGAAACAGGACCTGTTTGCAAACCTCTTCAACTGACTCAAATTTAGTTAAGGGAGGCAGGTGATGGAGAGTGGAATGAATCGCTTTCCAAGTGGCTAGTTAGGTTTATAAATGTTGCGTAGAACTTTTCATAAATCACTATCTTATCTAAGTTAACTAACCTGAGTAGCGGACAGAAAGAGCTAACAGCAAAGCCATGGTATTTTGATTATTCCCCCCCCCCCTTTTCTATTGCAGAGGCAAAATGATCCCATCTGATCTTGAAAGGAGAATTGTTGAGGCAAAGCAAAAGGCAAGTAGATTTCCACCTACAGTCAGTAATCTGTAGGTGTATAGGAAAGCATACTGTTTGGGGGAGTGAGGCAAGGGAATTGCCTATGGAATTTCAATCATTGTTTTAAGAGTTGAGTTGCCTTATAAATCTGCACACAAAGATTCCCCCCCCCCCTTGAAATGTGAGTTAATGATGAGATGGACCAATGCACTGAAAGAAACCTGTCCGAAAAATAGACTATTCCGAAATAACGTGGGCATCACAAAGTGATTCACTGAGTGTGCATGTGCAAGAATGTTGGGTCACCCCAACTCTTTTGAGCTCTCTCTATCCTCTAGTCTAGACCCTGTGATTGTAGGAGGCGCAGCCCCATTGTCAGAGAGCATGCATTTTTGCATCTAGAAAGTCCCACATTCATTCTCAATGATTTAAAAAAAATTGAACTGTCTGGTTTTCAACAAACTGTTTCTTACACCGCCCAGCTGAGGCCAGAAGAGTGTAAATCACTCGTTCAACAGAGTTCAGAATTGCAAAGTAAACCTAGCCTTTCCAGATGCTCATTTTTACTCCCTGCCAGGAAAAGCCTTATACAAAAGCCGAACATCTGGACACATTTTGTCGCCTTAGCAGTTTGCTGCCACCTGCAGGCAGAAGTATCAATGACATAAGCAAATTACAGTAAAAGGATGTTGATGGGTCGCAATATTGGGCTTATCCGCACTTAACTTTGGCTCCACTCTCGCCAGGCATAGATCTGGGCTTAAAAGCTGCATGTCTGAGCATTTTGGGGGGTTTTTTGGTAGAGCTTTTTGTCCCAGAGTTTTCCCTACAAAAACCCGCTCTTTAGCACTCAGTTGGGATTTAAGCAGATTGCGCTTTGCACTGATTGAGATTTAAAGAGCAAGTTTTCACAGGGAGCGCTCTGGAGCAAAAGAAGAAGAATGAGAATGTGCTGTCAGACACATAGCTTTAAAGACCGTTCCTTGAAAGAGCGGAGGAAAGGTCAGTATGAATAAGCCCATTTGCTAAGGGTATTATAGGGCAGTGTACCAATAAAATGAAATAAATAAACGGTGTCAGTTTCAGTCCCTTCCAGCATCTCTAGATAGGACTGGGGAAATAGTCCTGCCTGAAACTCTAGAGAGCTATTTCCAGTCCGTGTAGGAAGAGGAAGCCAAGATGTGCAAGTGGCAGTCTCTTATAACATCTAAGCTTTGCTTGGCAGCATAAATCAGGCATGTTTCTTAGATGTTGAGTCTGTGATTACTGGTATGCCTCGCCTTAATGATATTGTTTCATGCCGCCCCAATCTCTGCTGAGCGGTGCATGTGATTCCAAGGATCTCGGGTGCTTATCTAGGGTTCGTGTTTCCTTTTGGGAATGAGGCACAGCAGAGACTGTGGTGTCTTTAGGATATATGGTTTATTTACACACATATATACCACCTGAGCCTATGATGGAGGTGTGGATAGCATTACGCCCCAAGAGGGTCTCTTGCTTCTCCCATAGGTGCAGCAGTCTTGGGTCTCAAAGACAGAAAATCAGCCATGCTCTCTGTCTCTTTGTTACAGCCTATCACAAACAGCCCATAGGATGTTCCTGCCCCGCCCCGCCCCCCGCCTTCTTCATCCTTCTCACAGTTAACAGACCCTGGCTTATCTCCTCCAAACCAAAACCCTACACCCTTTAATCCCTTTGGTCTATGTCCACTAACACACACTGAAGGAGAGCCCCTACCCCTCCTGGTCTGGCATAGCTTCCCCCCTCTTGAAGGCTTTCCTGGTAAGTTAATGACTCGGCCATTATCAGCTTTGTTCCTCCACTGACCCACACTCTCAGGCTGGCTTGGCTTGTTAGCATTAAGTGCATCCAGCAGTGTATGGCACAGTTTAATCAAACCTTGATTAATTCTAACTTTCACTAAATCTAGGAATAACGAGGAGGATTTGGCAGCCAGGAGTTTCGGGGATCCTTGCTTTCCCCCAAAACTTATCACAGTATTAAGCCTCCATTCCACGCCACTTCCCTACAGAGCTGTTGCGACTGAAAGACGCTCAATTTCAGAAAATAGTCTCTATGTCTAAAGGAAATTTTCTCCACTGGAACATTTTCCTGTTGTTTTTGTTGTTGTTTTCTTCCTGCAGGGATTTGTTCCTTTCCTCGTGAGCGCCACAGCAGGAACTACAGTCTATGGGGCATTTGATCCACTTATAGCTATTGCAGATATCTGCAAAAAGTACAAGATCTGGATGCATGTTGATGTGAGTACAGAATTACAGTCTAAAAGGGCTGAGCTACAAAACAGTAAGCTGGCAGAGCCAAAAACCATGCTGTTTAAAGTGGAAATGCATGTCCTAGCACAGTCTCTGAAGGATGTTGAGAACCCCAGATTCTGAAAGCTGTCAGGGAGAGCAGGAAGGTGTGGGCCATCTCATTTTCTTTGTCCCTAGTTTTTGATATTCAGAGCTATATTACCTCGAGCTCTTGTGGTTAGTAGCAGGTAGTAGGCCCATCCTATAGGAATGTGACTGTTTATTTAAGAACATTAGAAAAGGTTACTAGATCTGGCCAAAGGCCCATCTAGGCCAACATCCTGCTCTCACAGTGGCCAAACCCGCAAGCCGAATCTGTGTACAACAACACTTTCCCTACCCAAAAACTGGTATTTGAAGCATACTGCCTTCAACAGTCAGAGCTGGTTCAATCTAGGTGGCTGTGTAACTTCTGCTAGGTTGCTAGGTCATGTGACCAATTTGGAAAGGGTTTGGAACAGGTGTGAGTGCGCCCCTACCCCACTGTGCCCCCATCACTCCCTTGTTGGGGGACTTGTCTTCGCCAGGGGTGTAACATGGGGGGGGGTCTGCTGGGGCGATGGTCCCATTTTTTCTGGGGGGTGCTGGCAAGGCACTGTGAAGAGGCTGCAACAGGCATGCATGCCCCGGACACAGTGAAAACATGCTCCATCGCTGATCCTGGCCTCAGCTAAACCAGCTGCAACAGAGCTGGGCTGAAGGACTTACCTCTAACTGAGCTGGAATGAGGGATTTGAACTGGGTTTGCCCCAGCTAAGCCCAGACTCAGACAGAGATTTACCTGTTTCAAACTCCACTCAACCCAGAAGATCTTGGGTGTTGGATTGCTCCCTTGCTTTTTAAAAATAAATAAAGCTGGGGAAACAGCTTATGATTTATCGGGACTTCCTCCTCTTCCGCCCACTGCACAAACATCCACGCTCCTCCCTGACCATTGGTCCTGTTGACTAGGGCTGGCAAAGTCTAACAGCATCTGAAGGGCCACAGGTTCCCCTCTCCTGTTACAGCACGGCTTTTGTCTGCACAGAATTGACAAAATGCAAGGGGACAGTCACTTGAATTGAAGGGCTTAAGGTATTTCTTTCTTTTCTACAGCCACTTAAACCAACAGCGTCATTGCATCATGTGGTTGTAAATTTCAAATGTGCACTTGGGGAACATGTTTCATACACTTCCCCTGTTTTGAAATTTCCTCAACAATATTTTTTTGGCTGCTTCCCTGATCACACAAGGAGAACATTCAGAAGTGACTTGTGGGTTTGGATATTAGAGCCTTGAAATCCGTACGACTGAATACAATTAATGCTCTTTTCTTTTCTTTTCCAGGGAGCGTGGGGTGGTGGGCTGCTGATGTCAAGGAAACATAAATGGAAATTAAATGGTGTTGAAAGGTAGGGATTACGGACATGTCATTAAATATCACTTATGTGCTGCAGTGACTGATGGAAATATTATTAGACACTACTCATATGCTGTCTTGACTGCCACCAGAATTCCTGCAAATTTAAAACTAGTCAATATCCTCTTGTCAAATGTAGCAGCAGAAACTATTTTTCAAGTTCCAATCATTATTGAAATAGTTGACCAAATCTTTGCAAAGCATAAGAGCCTGCTGCTGTTCCTTTTACTTTGTTGTTGTTGTTGTTTATTAAATTTGTATACCGCCCTTCATCCAGAGATCACAGGGCAGTTCACAACATAAAAAATACAAAATGAGAACTCAAATACATAATAAATACACAATAACAAATTAATAACCTTCCTCCCACAAACACATTTAAAATATTTAGCCAAAGGCCTAGTTAAAAAGAAACATTTTCACCTTGTGCCTAAAGATATGTAATGAAGGCACCAAGCGAGCATCCCTGAGGAGAACACTTCACAAATAGGGAGCCACAACCGAAAAGGCCCATTCTCATGTTGCTACCCTCCAGACCTTTTGAGGAGGAGGCACACAAAGAAGGGCCTCAAATGATGACTGCAGGATCTAGGTCTGTTCATATGGGGAGAGGCGATCCTTAAGGTATTGCAGTCCTGAGCCATTTAAGGCTTTATAGGTCAAAACCAGCACTTTAAATTGGGCCTGGAAACTAATTGGCGGCTAGTGCAGTTGGGCCAAGATTGGTGTAATATGCTCAAACTCTGTGGCTCCGGTGAGCAACCTGGCCACTGAATTCTGCTGATGTTTCCCAACCATCTTCAGAGGCAGCCCTGTGTATAATGTGTTGCAGTAATTGAACCTAAAGGTTACCAGAGCATAGACAACAGATGTTAGGCTATTCCTGCCCAGACAAGGATGCAGCTGGGCCACCAGTCAAAGTTCTCCATGACATCGAGACACAGGGAACTGTGGTTTGTTTGGTTAGTGAAAACAAGCCAGGATACCTATTCAGGGTACCACTCTCTCATTAACCATAGTTTAAACAACTATGGACTTGTAAAAAGACATTCACTGGAAAAGTTCCAAGCTGAAAAATCTCTGTCATTTCTAAGGAACATTATCTGTGTCAATACATTTATATTAACTGTTATTGGATGTTTGTAAAAAGCCTGATTATGGCATGAAATAATGACTTTCTTTTTTAGCTGCTTGGCTTATTTTCAGCCTTACTGTTCTGGCCATTCAAGAGCCGCCTTTTTATTTTGGTTTTGCTGTTTGCATTTTACGCCTCTGTGAATGCAATCTGCCATTGCCGCACCTCATGTTAAAGTTTGGTTGCTGTTCCAGGGCCAATTCTGTGACATGGAACCCACACAAAATGATGGGGGTCCCACTGCAGTGCTCCGCTCTGCTCGTTCGAGAAGAGGTATGTTTACATCCATATTGACATCTTTCGCCTGAAAAGGAATAATAATAAATCTGTAAGGTAAAGGTAAAAGTACCCCTGCCTGTACGGGCCAGTCATGTCCGACTCTAGGGTTGCGCGCTCATCTCACTTAAGAGGCCGTGAGCCAGCGCTGTCCGGAGACACTTCCGGGTCACATGGCCAGCGTGACGAAGCTGCTCTGGCGAGCCAGCACCAGCGCAGCACACAGAAACGCCGTTTACCTTCCCGCTATAAAGCGGTACCTATTTATCTACTTGCACTTAGGGGTGCTTTCGAACTGCTAGGTGGGCAGGAGCTGGGACCGAACGGCGGGAGCTCACCCCGCCGCGGGGATTCGAACCGCCGACCATACGATCAGCAAGTCCTAGGCACTGAGGTTTTACCCACAGCGCCACCCGCGTCCCCAATAAATCTGTAGTCAACCTGAAATCACAAAATAAAATTAAAAAATGGGTGCAGTGGTTGTTGCCTAGAAATGGGGATATCAGGAGGTGGAGTCAGGCTTAGGTCAGCAGTACAGTAAAACAAAAAGCACCCAATGGCAGTGAAGTTAACTCTTTATTCAGAGAAACAAAACAGCTTGGTCACAGCAACCCTTCTCAATAGTTCTTGCCCCAATGAGACAGCTGTGAGGACTGATGTTCTCCACCTTCTCCTGCTCTCCAAAGCTCCTCCTCCTGTTCCTTCCCCAGCAGCGTAAGGCTCCTTCGCCCTATCTTTCCTTCCCCAACTAGTATGGAATATTATGAGGGACGCAGGTGGCGCTTTGGGTTAAACCACAGAGCCTAGGACTTGCCAATCAGAAGGTCGGCGGTTCAAATCCCCGCAATGGGGTGAGCTCCTGTTGCTTGGCCCCTGCTCCTGCCAACCTAGCAGTTCGAAAGCACCTCAAAGTGCAAGTAGATAAAGAGGTACCACTCCAGCGGGAAGGTAAACGGCGTTTCCGTGTGCTGCTCTGGTTCGCCAGAAGCGGCTTAGTCATGCTGGCCACATGACACAGAAGCTGTACGCTGGCTCCCTCGGCCAGTAAAGTGAGATGAGCGCCGCAACCCCTGAGCCGGTCACGACTGGATCTAATGGTCAGGGGTCCCTTTACCTTTACTATGGAATATTATGAGGGATGCCGCACTGGGGGCACTATGCTACTTTAGCAGACGAGTGAATATGAGAAGCAAATGGGGTTTCCAAAAGGTTCCTAGCTTTCCTTACTGTGGATTTAAGAGCTCAGCGACACACAGTTGGTTACTAGGTGCTTCCATCTTCACAGCAGCCAGGGCAGGAATAGCCATCATGGTGTCCTCCAAATGTTGTGGACTACAACTCCCATTATGCCTGACCGCTGGCTGTGCTGGCATGGGATGATAGGAGCTGGAACACAACAGTTTCTGGAGGGTGCCCCATTGGCTACCTCCAGGCTGGCAGCTGCATGGTAGGAGGTGAAGCAGAAAATAGCACATATTCAGCTGAATTGTTTATAGAGTTGGGGACGAGGGTAATAGCTATAATGGCAAGAATATATTTATGTGATGATGTTGCAAGCAAGTCTGGGCTATGTGTATGGAGCCTGGGCTGCCCTCTCGGCCTCACTGATGTGGTCACAAGGAAAGCAGAACAATGCATTTGGCACCAGCTTGGCTGCAGGAATTTCCAGAAGGAGGCGTACAAGACTTAGGGACTCCACTCCCGATTTGTGTAGAGTTTGCTTCTTAGCCTTTTCTTCTCCCAAAGGTGTCCCATAAGCATGGACGAAAATAATGCTCTTGACTTCATAATATAGTCTAAAGATACAACTGATGGCCCCCTTCTGCCAGCACTGGAGCCTGTAGCCTTTCCTTAGGAAACCTTAGGGAGCCAGTGTGGTGTAGGGGTTAAGAGCGGTAGTCTCGTAATCTGAGGAACCGGGTTCGATTCCCCGCTCCTCCACATGCAGCTGCTCTGGGTGACCTTGGGCCAGTCACACTTCTCTGAAGTCTCTCAGCCCCACTCACCTCACAGAGTGTTTGTTGTGGGGGAAGAAGGGAAAGGAGAATGTTAGCGGCTTTGGGACTCCTTCGGGTAGTGATAAAGTGGGATATCAAATCCATACTCTTCTTCTTCTTCTTACAAGGTCAAAGTTATGAGGCCTTTACAAACACACATCAACTGTTCCTCACAGCACAGCCAAGGATGGGGGATTGTTTGCAAGCGCTTTCTTGAATCAGTAAAACTTCCATGTTATTCCACTTGCCCTTCAGAGTGTGTCTGCTTCTTTAAAGGGCCTGATGCAAAGCTGTAACCAAATGCACGCTTCCTACCTCTTTCAACAAGATAAGCACTACGACCTGTCATACGACACTGGAGACAAAGCCTTGCAATGTGGGCGCCATGTTGATGTCTTCAAGCTATGGCTGATGTGGAGGGCAAAGGTGAGTATTTACATTGGAAGAGAGAGCAAGGGAGTCAGAAAAAGAGAGGGGAAAGTAGGTGTCTTATTTCCCTCAGAGAGGTACAATTCCCAGAGTTCCCTGGAAAGAGTGACTCATCATAATACTATCACCATCATTTATTATTATTATTAGCAATATTATTAAACTTAGTTGCTTCTTTACAACTCTCAGCACCCTTAGCAAACTACAGTTCCCAGGATTCTTTGGGGGAAGCCATGACTATTTAAAGTGGCCTGATTCTGCTTTAAATGCATGGTATGAATGGGGCCTTTACTATATAAAGTGACTGGTTGGGATTTTGTACTGAGGTATATATAGATGAGTGTGTAATTGTGAGCATTATTGGTTGAACAGCATAATGTTATCTTAATAGGGGTTTTTTATTTCATTATAAATGCATTGTATTGCATTTGAGTTCCGTTTTGTACACCGCTTTACTATTCTTTTGAATGCAAAGCAATTAAGAATTTTGCTAAATAAGTAAATGTTGGTTGCTAGGTTGCTAGGCAACTGCGGCTGAGCATTCCTACAAGAGCTGTCTCTGGGTAAGCCACTGCTCTCCCTAACACGAGCTTTCTGTGCGTGAAATAAATAAAAAGCACAAACCTGGGAGTGAACAAATGAATAATAATTGCCAATTCACCTTTCAGCCATGAGGAATTGAGTGCTGCTTTCAAGCTTCGAGCCTGTGACATCATGGAGCAGTTGCTGCACCTCAACTCCAGCCAATTTGGCAACCTAACAATTCTGTTTTAGCGTAATCAGGCTAAAAGCTTTTGAGAATGACAAGAGGATTTTGTTGTATGAATTCTTAAAACTAGACATGGCAAAACTGTGACTAGAACACCTGCTTCCATTTTATGCAGCAATTAGGAGCGGGCGTAATATTGATGTGGGGAAACCAATTATAAATCTGTTGTTTTCTAGGGGCATATTTGTAAAGACTCTCCGAGGACCAGCTTATTTTGCAGTTTGGAAATATTGCCAAATATAATGCTTCCGGCTGAGTGGTTTCAGATTCCTCCCCCAAGATTTCCTTTAAGATGAACAAATTCATTTACTACAATGGCCTGCAGGAAACACACATTTCATGCAGCTGTAGATGTTTTTGCCACCCATTGTTGGCATCATCTTATAGCTAACCTTAACCAGGTTGCCACTGCTTTAAGTTAGGTGTGCATCATTTTTGATCCAACAAGGAAATGCACACCATGTCCCAGTTATAGAGGCCTTACAGCTGCTCCATAAAGCTCCTGGTTTCTCTGTATGTGGATGCAAAAAGAGGAAATGAAGGGAAAGATCCAGGACCTAGCAGCACCACAACACATAATTGGTGGGTCACAAGTTATGTAGACCCGACAGACTGAATGAAATCAAGGTGATTTAACTCATTGATTTTATCCACTCAGGAAAAGAAGAGGATGGTTTAAATCAAGTTTCACCCTGACTACATTCATATACCGTATTTTTCGCCCTATAAGACGCACTTTTTCCCCTCCAAAAATTAAGGGGAAATGTGTGTGCGTCTTATGGAGCGAATGCAGGCTCCTTGGCTTCAGCAATAGCAACGCAAAGCCGCCAAAGCGCAGAGGGAGTGCTCCCACCGCGCTCCGGAGGCTTCGCGTTCCTTTCGCTGAAGGATAGGTGCCCCTTCAGCTAAGGCGCAGCGTCCCTTCAGCTAAGCGGGAGCAGAAATGAAAGGGGCTCTGTTTCTCCTGCCGCTTCGCTGAAGGGGTGCTGCACAGAGAGGGGGAGATTTTTTTTTCTTGTTCTCCCCCTCTAAAACAAGGTGCGTCCTATGGTCGGGTGTGTCCTATAGAGCGAAAAATACAGTATTTCTTGAATTGTGAAATTAAGGGTTTATGTCCTGTGATCTCTGTACATAAGAACACAAAAGGATGCATTCTAACTATGCCTGCTCAGAAGGAAGCCCTACTGGATTCAATAGGAAAACGTTGCCCAGAACTTTCCAGGAGCTTGAGCAATAATAAATACAATATGCAGCCTGCTGCTTTTGCTACTTTTTAAGGAGGACCTTGAGCGAGGCCTCCTGTAAGTGAGCAGAGAGGGTTTCAAGGTGGGAAGTGGTCAGATACCCTCCCATTTTTGATCTTCAATTAGGTAGCCTATTTCTGATTCCCATACAATTTAGAGACCTCCAGCATCTCCTGCTAATAGATTGCTGTATATTAGAGAAGCAGCACCCTTCAGGTCATATGCTGATCTGCTGCATAAGGATTTGAACAAGGCAAGTGTTAGTTTCATCTTAAAACAGTGCCTTCTGAGATGCTTTTTTTTTAGTGCATCCTCCAAAATCAGAAAAAATAATAATATTTTGTTCTCTTCTGATTGTAAATTTCTTCAGGGGTTCTTGTAGCCAAGCGATATATACAATTAACAAACCTAACCCTCCATTCCTGTCTCTTTCTTCCTTTGTTCCAAAGGGCACTGTAGGATTTGAAGCACACATTGACAAATGCCTGGAACTTGCAGAATACCTGTACAACAAAATAAAGAACAGAGAAGGCTTTGAGCTGGTGATTGAGGGAAAGGTGTGTGTGTTTATTTTAACATAGCTTTGAAAAGCAAATCCCTCCACACTTACTTAAGAGTAAGCATCTCCAATCACAGAAAGGCAGACTTCCAAGTAAAAGTGCACTGGGATTGCACTGCTCCAGAACATCTATTACTATACCGTTTTATAGATTGGGGATTTTATTAATTAAAAAGTCTGCCCTGTACTTGCTAATCATAGAGATCAGACTGTTACCAAGGGACTGTTTGTCAAGTAATCTTCCCGCCCAGTATGCTAGAAGGAATCGACGTAAGCAGAATGATTACCATGCTGATTTATGAATCAGTTGCAAGATCAATGTAAGGAGCCCAGAAAGCAACTGAATTGGCCAGAACATCAATCAGCCTTCGTGCCTAGCAGGAAGACAAGAGTGCAGGCTTCCCACAGGCATCTGGTTGGCACTGTGCCATTGGCCTAATCCAGCTAGCTCGTTTTATGCTCTTAGGTTGTAAATCTAACCCAGTGAATACATATGTGCATTCCCTATTACATAAAAAGGTAAAGGACCCCTGAACCGTTAAGTCCAGTCAAAGGTGACTGGGGTTGCAATGCTCATCTTGCTTTGAGGCCAAGGGATCCAGTGTGTGTCCACAGACAGATTTCCGGGTCATGTGGCTAGCATGACTAAACTGCTTCTGGCGCAACAGGACACCGTGACAGAAACCAGAACACACAGAAATGCCGTTTACCTTCCCGCCACAGCGGTACCTTTTTATCTACTTGCACTGGTGTGCTTTCGAACTGCTAGGTTGGCAGGAGCCGGGACAGAGCAATGGGAGCTCACCCCGTTGCACGGATTCAAACTGCTGACCTTCTGAGTACAGGCATCATAAGTAATACAGTCAAACCTCAGAACTCGAACAGCTCCGTTGCCGAATGTTTCAGTTACCGGGTGCCAAAAACCCGGAAGTGGGTGTTCCGGTTTTCGAATGTTCCTCAGAACTTGAATGTCCAACGTGGCTATGCAAAAACCTAGCTCTCAGCCAATCAGAAGCCGTGCCTTGGAACTCAAACATTTCAGAAGTCAAACGGTCTTCCGGAACAGATTACATTCAAGTTCTGAGGTTTGACTGTAGATCTAATTGATGTCAAACTATCACCTAGGGAATTAAAGGAATCCATAGGAAAATCAAGTCTGCTCTTGAAACCCTAATATATCTCAGTCTCCTCTAACTGGCAGTGGCCCTCCAGGGCTCCAAGAAGAGACCTTTCCTACCCTTGCTGCCAGATCTTTTTAAGTGAAGACGCCAGGGACTGACGCTCAGACATTGTGTGTTCAAAGCATATGCTCCCATCACCTTCTCCCAGTATCTATTATCCCTGCCATATTCCTTGGAACACATTAGGTTGGATCCAACATACTTGAGTTGCACTTAGGTCCCATTGAAATCTACAAGTTTCATAACCTGAAACTTGGAACATTTCAAAATTAAAAAGTTAGTCATGGCTATGTGAATACCCATTCATTTCAATGGGAAACAAGTTTAACTAGCATATTCTGAATCCAACCTGTTGCTACTGCTGAGTGCAGAAGGTAAGTAAATAGCACGACCCCATGCATGTTTACTGAGAAGCACTTCTCACTGGGTTTAATGGGGCTTATTCCCTAGGAATTTACACTGGAGACTGAAGCCTAAGTTTATCAGTGGAGGAGCTGAGGTTAAAAAAGGTTGAGAAACAGCACCCTACTCAAGCTTGGGGTTGTTGGTTTTTTGCTTTTGATCTAGTGTCATAGGAAGAGCTATGTGTGGGAAAGGGGAACGCATGGACCTTGTGGCAATTGAGCTGCTCGTGCAATCTAAGATGCTGTTTTCTTTCCATTAGCCTCAGCACACAAACGTTTGCTTCTGGTATGTGCCTCCCAGTTTACGAAATATGGAGGATAATGAAGAAAGAATGAACCGTCTTTCAAAGGTAAAAAGAAGAAGACAATGTGCCCATTTCTATTACAGAGTGCACTTTCCCCCTTTTCAAATGAGACCAGACTAGTCCACACCTGCACATATATGCCTTTGCATATGAGCAGCAGTTTCGGTCTTTCCCATTCATACCTGTCAGCATTCTCTTCTGTGTTTGTCCCTGCTTTCTAATTTCTTGATTCAGTATCTCTGGATCAGGGAAACTCAATTTACAGGCAAAAAGCATTGAGATTGCTGTTGTTTGGGGGTGATATCATGTGGACTGCACAAATTAAATGGGAACGCCAACAGCTGCAAACACATGGTAAACTCCAGTGTGGACAATCCCTAAACGGCATTGGAGGCCAGATGTCCAGCATGAACTCAGATCCCTTGCAACTGAAGAGGGTCCCTGACGCAGTTATTACACAAGGCTGCACAGTTTATGGGAGCTTGGGTTGGTTGCTGAGCCAAGTAGGACAAATGCTACACTGGTGTAAACCCAAGAAGTGGTAGCCAATGAAGGGAGAGACATAAAATGTGGCCATATATCAGAACACAGGTCAGCCAATAATGTTGAGCGGGAGGGGAGATCAACGGAATGTTGTGACATCAGAACACAGGTCAGCCAATGATGTTGCACGGGAAGGGAGAGCAACAGAATGTTGCGATACAGGTGAGTTCTGCTGGATGCTATAGGGAGAGGACCGCATGTCTAGCTTGCCCCTAAGAATATGCTCAGAAAAGAGGCAGTAGAATATTAATTTTGTTTTTCATACTGTGTCTGTGAAGGTGGCTCCAGTTATTAAAGCCCGAATGATGGAGTATGGGACCACAATGGTCAGCTATCAGCCCCTGGGAGACAAGGTCAACTTTTTCCGCATGGTGATCTCCAATCCAGCAGCGGCTCACCAAGACATTGATTTCCTGATTGAGGAAATAGAGCGCCTCGGGCAAGATTTATAATTGTGTGGTCTTCCAGACCCTTCTGAAATGTCTCTCTAGGTAGACAATTAAGTTGTCACAAACTGTGGTGAATGTATTTGTAGTTTGTTCCAAAGTGAATCTATTTCTATATTGTGCCGTCAAAGTAGAGTACAATTTAACACTTAAGAACATTGCTCCTCTTTAAAAGTATTCCCCCCCCCCCGTTGAGTTTGTGAATATTTCCCAATTAGAAAATATAAAAAGGCTGCATTCAAACAAATCCAGAATAATGAAATGCTCACGATTCCACCCTCCAAATTTTAGTACAGTTAGTAAAAGCGATAGTTTGCATTAAACGTAGCCAAATTTGCCCCCAGACAGTCACAGAACACAGTGAGGGGCATTGTAAAGCATAAAACAAAAAATGCTTTCAAATAAAGAAATGTTGCCTTTTTTTCCTTGGTATATTAGAACAGAATTTCTAATTTACATACATTTCAGATGTATTTAACTACATATAATTTTACAAAAGAAATATATATATATATTATATATATTAAAAAAGATCCTATTTTGTAAAATATAGATTTTTATTTTCTATGGGTTATGAAGACTGCAGGGGCAAAAAATAGTAATAGTAGATATTAAGATCCTTTATTTTCCTTCAGAGAAATTGCATTGAATGCTTATTTTGAGACAGAAGCCCACATAAAATTATCCAATAGAAATGTCTCTGTTCTGCTTGTCACTTTACATCTCCAGAGTTTAGTACTACAAAACCTCAAGAGATTACTGCAGCTCTTCAACAACAAAACAAGATCAATGACAGTGAAATTATAAAATCTTTACGATGTTTCTCAAGTGGCCTATCTAAGCAGACGCACAATCATCATAGAAAGTGCTACCCACGACTTAACATGGCGTTGTATTTGGAGTCTTCTCAATAATAATAATAAAAAGGTCAAAGTTCAGATCAGTTGCTTGTGCCATCAGCATTTTAATGAGCTGCAGGTAAAGGAAGCCTAAAACTTCTTAACATAAGTAGACCAAACCATAGGGCTTACCAGTGAGGGAGACAAATTGCTGAGTTGACAGCTATGGGGTGGGGTAAATCTTGGAATCATATGGCCAAAATTCACCAAAGCAGCCAACCAGAATTCCTTTGTGCAATCCAACCTCTATACATAGATTCAACGCGAGGTGACATAGCTGCAGAAGCCCCTATATAATTTTTGCCCTACCATTAGGCAGAGTGAAGCAGCTAGTTTCCAGTGCCATGAAAGGGCAGCAATTTGGTTTGTTATTTAATTTATTATGGTTGCATTTTTCCCCAACCAGGGAGGCAAGAGAGAATTTGGGTTTTTTTCTGCCTCAGGTACCAAAATAACTTGACCAGTCATAGGTCCTATGCACCTTGACACTAACATGGGGTTGGAGAGACATCTGCTGCTTTGCCTCGGGCAACAAAAGATCTTGGACTGGGTTGTTGGTCCTTCAAGCCACTCCCTGCACTTATGCAGAGATGGAGGATTGCAAGATATGAAGGAAATACCTTCAAATACACATAAAGCACTTTAGCTTTACCTCTTTGCAGTTTCAGGCACTGTTCTTGCCTTCCCTAGCAAAACCCTCTTCTGATTATGAGGACCATTTTTATGGCATATTGAAGGCCCACCAAGACTTTACACTTGCAAGTTAGGCCATATTGCAAGCAGGCAGGGTGGGGGTGGGAAAGAGGGAAATTCCATCTACCTGAATTTCACATCTTGGAGTTGTCTCTACTTATAACACTGGCCAAGTTTTGGGTTTTAGCTTTAACTAGGATCAACGTGGCCACGTGGGTTTGTAAAGCAATATTGTTTTACGCTCTCTCAAAATACTTGAAGTAACCAGTGCGATGTCGTCACAATTGATTGAAAATACTTAAATTTTTTGGTACTGGCTCATTGTAGCATTGCAAAATATAAGAGCAAGGAGATGAAGCTCTGTCTGTAATTTGTGTTGCCTTTTAAATTATATTGATAGCAAGGTTTTATTTTATTTTTTTGTCACCTCGGACTGAGGCTGTGCACTTTAGACTTAAAACTGTACAGTGTTGCCAATCAAACATGTATCGCTGTATAAGCTTGTACAATATATTAACTGAGCCGTCCTTAATTGTGTGGTAGTGGTATGGAACCTTGATATTGTAAGAACTGCATCCGTTCTAGTTTCTCTATTGCTCACCTGCTTCGGATCACAATCTCTTCCACCCTAAGCTGATTCCCGTGAAACAATGTTTAACTCTAGACATTTAACGCTTAAGAGTTGGAAAGTGAACAGCTCTGCCAATGAGATCCCTACTCAGATAACAGCAGAGACTATAGAGGCCTCTGTGCATAATGGCTTTTTCCTTCCATTCACTTCATTGGAGGAGAGCAGCCACAGGATTGGGGGGAGGGCAGCCAGAGGATCTCCATGAATCAGGGCATTTGAGGACCACCCAGCAAACTCTGCTGCTGTGTAATCTCCATTTAGTTGGTGCTACTGCGACTTCCACTGAATGAAATGGACAGTTGCATGGCAGTCAAACTTGGGATAATAGCTAGTTTGCAACACACCAGCCAAATGTTCCTGTTGCCCCAGGGGCAGGGAAGGTACAGGGAGCAATGGCAAAGAGGATTTATAGGCCTGGGTTACATCTTGCATGTGATTTTTTGCTTTGCTTAATAAAGCTAATTACGGTCCGTGTAGATATTACTTGTGTGTGCCGATCTGAGATCTTCAACTGGTGTTTTCATGTGGATAATCACCAGCAGGATTTTCTTTTCCATGTTAACTCTGTTTGTTGCATCTGGAGGGGGGGCGGGGGGCAGAACTACATGGCAACCTGTTCTTCTTGTATTTGATTAAAGTATTTTATCTGTGATGTCACTCAGAACCCAAATAAAAAGTGTAAAAATGTGGCTGACACGTCTCTGCAGGGTTTCCACACACCCCTCTCTCCCTTTTCATTGCCGACCTGGGAGATCGCAAGAAGCAGGAACATCTTTTGTGCCATCTCTCACCAAAGGTCAGGAGGACTAGGGAGCTTTATTCCAGCTGTCACCCACTGTCAGGTTGCTGCTTCAGCACATTTTCTATTAAATGTGATAAGCACAGAAATAATGGGACACTGTCACAGGCTCTTGATTCCCCTCTTATCTATATATACATAAAGTGGTTTACCTGTTTCATTATCTTATAAGGGATGTGGGATCACAAATAAAAGAAAATGTGTTTTTTGTAAAGGAGATGAAAACCTGTAGCTCATTAGGCAACTTATGTTTCTTTTAACAAGGAATCTCTCTCTCTCTCTCTCTCTCTTTCTTTCTTTCTTTCTTTCTTTCTTTCTTTCTTTCCTTCCTTCCTTCCTTCCTTCCTTCCTTCCTTCCTTCCTTCCTTCCTTCCTTCCTTCCTCTTATTGCCTTTCTTTCTTCCACTATCAGTGGACTCATAATCCTGTGAACTGGGATCGCTTCTCCGCTCCTCCACATGCAGCTGCTGGGTGAACTTGGGCCAGTCACACTTCTCTGAAGTCTCCGCCTCACTCACCTCACAGAGTGGGGGAGGGAGGGGAAAAGGAGATTGTTAGCCGCTTTGAGACTCCTTAGGGTAGTGATAAAGCGGGATATCAAATCCAAACTCTTCTTCCTCTTCTTCTTCTTCTAGCCAGTCTCCCATTTGGTCCACAGCAATCTCCAGTAAGGTTCCATATGCCTTCAACTCATTCATTGTAATGGACCCATAGAAAACCTCTTCCCCATTTTAATGCTTGTCTGCAAGGTTGCCACTGTGTCAGGGATTGGCTGGACAAAGAGGAGTGGTGGGAGGTACCAGCCAGGGGAATACCCTAGAGAAACACCAGAGGAGGAAGGCTCAGAGCCTGGGGATTGGTGGTGTGACACTGAGGAGAAGCCAGAAGAAGAAGATTGGGAGGAGATACCTGATGCTGAAGGGGCAACAGGGTTTAGTGAGCAGGGATAACCGGTGACAGGGAGCAGTTCAGACTCTGAGGCTGAAGCAGAGGAGGGGAATCAAGAGGCTGCTGAAGAATCCAGGGAGTCCCCCTCTCCTGCTGCAACAAGCTCCCCTCCCCCCTGGTTTCCAAGAACGTGCAGGATCATGAGGAGAGTGGAACAGAGGTCAGAGAGGCTTGGGAGATATCCTGGAGAGGAGGAGCCTTAGAATGGGTGGAAGGCAGGGACCTTCAGTCCTGGAAACTGCTCTATAGGGGCAAGACCGACTGGGACGTGTTGCTGAGTTGTATGCTGTTTCCTTGAACTTAACTGACAACTGACTCTGCTTCTACGTGCTGACCTGCATCTGACTCCAGCCCTGACACACTGCCGGCATCCCTGTTCAGTGTTCACCATGAGGGCTAGGAACGTAGGAAGTTGCCTTACACTAAGGCCATCTATCTCAGTGCTGTCTACACTGCTTGGCAGTGACTCTCCAGGGTTTCAGGCAGGGGTCTTGCTCAGTCCTATCTGGAGATGCTGGGGACTGAACGTGGGGGTCTTCTGCATGCATAGCATATCTCCTACTGCTTAGCCTTGTGGTCAGGTTTATGTGGTTGGGTGCAGGAAATCCGTGGTTCTAAAACCATATGGAAATGTGAGCTGCATGAATGCCTCTCCCATCTCCTAGCTGTAAATATCCAAATATTTAAAATGGTTGGTAAAGCAGCTGGAGCTTTCAAATATCTGAGTCGGGTTTTTGTTTTAAATCACATGCAAAGGCTTGGATTCTGCGCCCAAATTAAGCCAATTCCAATGCTATTATCCAAAGTGTGTGCACAGCCTTAATTAGCACCCTTCAGGATAAATGGGTAGGAATCGTTACAGCTGGTTTGAAATGGCTAGGAGGAAAGAGGGAGGGGGATCGAGAAGTATATAAATGGAAACATTAGCTGAGCACTGACTCACAGCATTCAATCTTCAAAGCTCACCATCTGTTTGCTCTCCCTGCTCCCAAATTCTCCAGCTGCCAAGTACAATAAAGAGGAAGGAAAACAAAGCAATGTTGACCACCAAGAGCAAGCAGAGGGGTACTGCAGCATGTGGGACAACCTGTAGGATCTCCTTTTATCTCCATCTGCATCATCAGATCATCTTTTTAAAAATGGGTGACCAGGTACCATCAGCTCAGCCTTGCCCCTATCTAGATAGGTGTGCATACAGTATGCCTCTTAACCAGTGCTTGTTTTTAGCTGGAGCGTGCCAAGGTGCAGTTCCGGCACCTCTCAGGTTGGCACCATTGCAGGCAGGCCCTCCCCCTGCCCACTTTTTGCCCTTACGTACTTCTGAGAAGCCCAAAATGAACATTTCAAGTCAAAACTCCGCCTAGCTCCTAGCTGTTCCTAGCCATGATTGGTCAAGCTATGGGCAGGGTCAACTCACATTTCCTTTTCTTCCATCCATCTCCCGTGAAGCAGGCTTTAAGCTTTCAACCATTGCATGCGTCTGTGTTTGCACAAGGGCCCTTCCAAGCTGCCCTAGCTGTTTGCCTGAAGCTGAGGCTCCAATACTTTGGCCACCTCATGAGAAGAGAAGACTCCCTGGAAAAGACCCTGATGTTGGGAAAGATGGAGGGCACAAGGAGAAGGGGACGACAGAGGACGAGGTGGTTGGACAGTGTTCTCAAAGCTACCAGCATGAGTTTGACCAAACTGCGGGAGGCAGTGGAAGACAGGAGGGCCTGGTGTGCTCTGGTCCATGGGGTCACGAAGAGTCGGACGCGACTAAACGACTAAACAACAACAACAACAAGAAGAGAAGGAGGGAGGCAGAGGTGCATTTATTTGACCTGCACCAGAACCAGGGGCTACCCCCAAACCAGCTAGGGAGACAGCTTGCCATACTTTTTAGCTCCTCCATGGGCAGATAGAGGGAGGAATGGGGAATAGTAACACAGTCTATGAAAATGGTGCCATGTGGCCAGTCCTAGACCCCCTAAGCAAGTCTGATGCCCTCAGGTGCGCTGGAGGACATTGTTCCATTCCTGATGTTGAAGAAATATTCAACAAGTTTGGTTGGCATCTGTATGTGGAACTGCGGAGGTGGGTATCCTTCCCTTCAGGAAGAGAAATGTCTTGGATCAGGCCTGTGTATTGACCAGACTTTTCAATTCAGCAATCTTACAGCATCAGGTATCTGCAGACCATGGCCTGGGGCTGAGGGTGTCCCTTTCAGAGAAAGTATAAACAAATGAAACAAATCTCCTAACTTTGTAAATGTACCCTAAGGGTATATAAGCCTCCCAAACACCTTTACTAGTAAGAATCTCTAGGCCACAGAAAGTGTTGTGCACTGGCCAGAGTTCCTGATCCATCTTCACAACTGTTGCTAATAGGGTTCCCAGCAGCCAAAGACAGAAGGTTTGCAGGACAATGGGCTATTTCTTTGGGCTATTTAATAAAATATTTAGCCTCTGTGTGTTTATTGTGCTCCTAATCCAACAAGAACCACCACACCTTTGGGCAATAGGAGGACACGGGCAGGAAAAAGACTAACAGAAAGCAGCATGTCGTTGGTATTTTCTACAATAATTCTGAGCTGGAAATGCTGTGTGTGTGTGTGTGTGTGTGTGTGTGTGTGTGTGTGTGTGTTCTCTGAGAGTCTAGACCACATGATAGCGTAAACAGCCTCACAAATTATTCCCTGACAGGTAGATGATAAATCATAGCACTTACAAAAAATGGCAAGTGACTCCACGTCTCATTCTGTCCTTGTACAGAACCTCAGGCAGAGATGAATTATGAAGCTGCTGACAATATGGGTACCTTCCATGCTCTAGCTGGTATTCCTTCTCTCCAGCTTCCCTGCCGGCGACTCACACCACTTCAGAGAGGCTTGTGAGCACCTTAAAAACTTCGGCTAATATATTAATATTGTGGACATAAGATTTCAAAACACATTTAGCTTGTTGTGGAAATACCATTATTTTAAAAAATCACCTTATTTTGTCTGTTGTTATAATTGTTTGTATATAAGCTAAAATAAATAAATATAAACTTTATTCTCCAAAAAAAAATCTCAACAAATTTATATAAATATTATTATCAATAATAAAAGCAATAACCTGTAAAAAAAAAAAGGAGTGCAAGTTGATGCAAACCCTTTATTTTGCACATGGTTTGTGCTTCAGATAATCCATACTTTCTTTTGAGGCTTGTTTGACCGTACTGAATTCCCCATAATACAAGGCAAGTAATTTGTGATCAGGATTTCTTCACTCTGTTAATGGCTGAACTGGCAGAAATGCAAATATTCATATGTCACAGCTAAAGGCTTCATCCTTTAGTGGATGTTTGTCACCTTTTCCCCTGACAAGGCTCCTGTAACTTTACTAGTTTATTTTTTACCTGACATGCAGCTGTTAAAGTTTCACCACCACAGCATATCCACATGCATGGCAGGAAGAGCATCACCTACTGCATTTCTGCCTGCCTTGCAGGGGTCCCTCAGACCTTGTGGGGGGCCGGAATTTATTTTTTTGGGGGTGAACGAATTCCTATGCCCCACAAATAACCCAGAGATGCATTTTAAATAAAAAGACACATTCTACTCATGTAAAAACACACCTGATTCCCGGACCGTCCGTGAGCTGGATTTAGAAGGCGATTGGGCCGGATCCGGCCCCCGGGCCTTAGTTTGCCTACCCATGTTTATATCTTTCCCTAGTATTGTCAGGTACATTGTAGCCAATTACCACAGACCAAAGGGAGTGCCATTATTTGAAACTTGCAGCCCCATACACCAAAAATCTTCCAGAAGTTTTTCTCTCACTAGATGCATGCAAATTTGAACACCTTTCAAGGAAATTTGTTCTCTGGTCTCATGCATATGCTTTTGATGATCTTCTGTCTTATATTCTGAGTGTCATAATGATGACAAGATGATCAGTGGCAAAAAAATACCCAGCAAAGTGAGCAGGGTGTCATGTTAAGCAAACAGGTCAAACTTCCCCGCCTTTTGGAATAGTTTAGGTTTATTGAGTTGCTTCCAAAAACAAAAGTCTTGAAGTGATTGCAAGAAGAATAAAATACGTTAATAAAATCACAGGCCCATTTAATTGTTTATAGCAACAGTCCCTCCTTGTGTAAAGCTAGAGAGACTGTGGGTGATCAAGGTGTTCCCCCCAAAGGAACAATCCCATATGGTCTAAAACACGTAACAATGTCTGTGCCAGATGCTAAAAAGGCCCAGTTAGAAGCCATTTACACCTCCATCAGAGCTATTAACACTTCAGAGTGACAAAGACATTAAACAGGGTCAGGGGAGAGCTGGAAAATATTCCCTCCTGGGATTTCTGGCATTAACCAGTGTTTTACAAGTACAGTGGTACCTTGGTTCTCAAACGCCTTGGTTCCCAAATGCCGAAAACACAGAAGTAAGTGTTCCGGTTTTTGAATGTTTTTCGGAAGCCAAACATCCAATGCGGCTGTCGGCTATTGTTTCTGGGGCGCCTGCACCAATCAGAAGCTGCGCCTTGGTTTTTGAACATTTCAGAAGTCAAACGGACTTTTGGAACTGATTAAGTTTGGTGCTTTTGTTTTTGCTATTTATTTTGAGTTTTTGTTTTTGAGGCTTTTTCGCTTAATTTGTTTTTGTGACTGTGTGGAACCCAGTTCAGCTACTGATTGATTGATTATGTGACTGCGGAAATGGATAAAAGCCCCCCATCCAAACAATGACTATCATCAGTGCAGGTAAGAAAAAATAATAATTTTAGTTTTCATCATCTACAATAATGTTTTCTTTATTTCATAGTACAGTGGTACCTCGAGTTAAGTACTTAATTCTTTCCGGAGGTCCGTACTTAACCTGAAACTGTTCTTAACCTGAAGCACCACTTTAGTTAATGGGGCCTCCCGCTGCTGCCGCACCGCCGAAGCTCAATTTCTGTTCTTATCCTGAAGCAAAGTTCTTAACCTGAAGCACTATTTCTGGGTTAGTGGAGTGTGTAACCTGAAGCGTATGTAACCCGAGGTACCACTGTACAGTACATTGATTATTGCTTTCATTTTATGGATCGATGGTCTCGTTAGATAATAAAATTTGTGTTAAATTTCTCTTTTAGGGGTTGTTTTTAAAAGTCTGGAACAGATTACCGTAATCCAGTTTGCATTACTTTCTATGGGAAAGCACACCTTGGTTTTGGAACGCTTTGGTTTTGGAATGGACTTCCAGAACGAATTAAGTTTGAGAACCAAGGTACCATTGTATATCATGAAAATAAAGGAACAAGGTATACATCACACAGGACAAGTTACTTCCCCATGCAGCTCAAGAACCCAAATGAGTCCTCTATTCTGGGACTGCATTAGATTTGGCTTCCTAGGTCACCATCTTTTTGTTTGTCTCTTTCAAGGATATGTATCTTCTATGCATTTGACAACTGCCCGGCACACAAAAAATGCAGGTGAGCCTTTTGGCTGATCTATGCTGAACTTTTAAAGTGCATTTGAAGTGCATTCTTGCCCTCAGAGAATTCTGAGCGCTGTATCATAGAATTACAGAACTAGAAGGGACCCCGAGGGTCATCTAGTCCAACCCCCTGCAGCGCAGAAATCTTTTGCCCAACGTGGGACTCGAACCCGCAACCCTGAGATTAAAAGTCTCATGTTGTACTGACTGAGCTATCGGTTGCAGGGAAACTGTAACTCTGTGAGGGGTAAACTGCAGTGGCTGGAATGTGGGAAATGGGTGCAGGCCAAATTTGGAAGGTCAGAAGTTCATCATGCCAAAAAAAGAGCATGGACCCCAGGAATGAATGAGGTGGGGGGAAATGGCATCTTCCCAGCAAGGACCCTGTTACCCCAAAGGGTTTGCGGTGGGGTGGTCTTCTCAAGGCATCCTACAACTGCCCAGGGACAGAACTGTTTGACCAGTGATTTCAAGTATGTTTTCAGGTGTGTACAACATGCCATCTGGACATTAGTGTGGTGGTAGTGGTTAAATTGGGACGTGGGTGGCGCTGTGGGTTAAACCACAGAGCCTAGAACTTGCCGATCAGAAGGTCGGCGGTTCGAATCCCCGCAACGGGGTGAGCTCCCGCTGCTCAGTCCCTGCTCCTGCCAACCTAGCAGTTCAAAAGCTCGTCAAAGTGCAAGTAGATAAATAGGTACCGCTCTGGTGGGAAGGTAAACGGCGTTTCTGTGCGCTGCTCTGGTTCGCCAGAAGCGGCTTAGTCATGCTGGCCACATGACCCGGAAGCTGTACGCCGGCTCCCTCGGCCAATAAAGTGAGATGAGCGCCGCAACCCCAGAGTCGGCCACAACTGGACCTAATGGTCAGGGGTCCCTTTACCTTTACCTAGTGGTTAAATTAGGACCAAAGAGACATTAAAATCTCATCAGTTCTTCATCCTGAAAATTACTTTCAATTTCACCGAAGTGGGCACAATCCTGAAATTAGGGGCACATGTTCCCATTCTTAAATGCCTGAGAAAAGAGCCTGTGGTTCCTCATTTTTCAAGGTGCATTTCTCTCCCTCTTTGTCAATGTCACTTTAAGAGACAAAGAAAATATTCTGCAGATCTCAGCAAGCCCCAGGGCTATGCTTTGTCATTCATTCTGCAACTTGACCTCTAAAGCTGAGTTGACTGTGGTAAGGGCCATTTTAACACCCATCCCTGAGATACATAATCCACAAACGACTGCCTGTTCTACTGTGGGAAGCCTCATGCAGCAGCAGTGCTAATAAAGTTGCCATTCCAATAAGTTTAATGAGAATGAACTAATAGGCTTTTAATGCTGTCACTCCCAGTCATAAGAGGTAAGTGGGTTGCTTGCCCTCTATACTGCGTAAGTGCCTAGCTGTCAGTGGCAATCCCAAAAATGCAACCGCAGCACTAAACTTGACACAACTTCATTGTAATTGGTAAAGTGCCTGGTTTCTATCATTTGTCAACAGGGAGGGGAGCAAAAACATATGACCTACAGGGCATGCACAGAACTGAAAAGGAAAGGCTGCTGTGAAGCTGTAAACCTTTTTCAAAAATTGACAAGCAAGATTTGACACTCACTCCTGATTGATTGATTGATTGATTGATTGATTGATGTATCTCATCTTCCCTCCAAGCAGTGCTGGATTTACATATAAGTGAAACAAAAGCTATAGCTTAGGGCCCCACTCTCGTGAGGGACCCCCCAAAAAAATTAAAGAAAAACCCCCTGGATGTACATTTCCAAAATATAAGATAAAAAACAAATAAAATAAAACCTACATGCAGCAACAGTGTTTTGTGTTGTGTAGGCTCCTATGATGTAAGTAATGGGCCCTGCCTGCTAGCCTGCTCCCTAAAATATCACTGGTTTGCTCATTTTCATATATAGAGTACCTACATTCTGCATGGACTGGTTGCACGGCAACATGTGCAAATGGCTTTAGATACCTATTAGGTCCATAAATTACCATATAGCATATATTCAACACAAAAAACAGCAGCAATTTGTTGTTGGCAAAGGACAGCTGGACATAGAAAGGGCCCCATTACCTTCAGCTTAGGGCCTCATCAAACCTAAATCCAGCGCTGGCTCCAAGAAGCTCAGTGTGGCACACATAGTTCTCCTCTTTCCCATTTTATAATAATAATAAGAACAACAATATTTATTTATTTATTTTATATTTTATATTATTTTATATTTTATATTATTTATTTATACCCTACCCATCTGGCTGGGTTTCCCCAGCCACTCTGGGCGGCTTCCAGCAAAATAATAATTGCTTCCAGCAAAATAATAAAATAAAATAATAAAATAATAAAATGTCGAACATTAAAAACTTCCAACAACCCTGTGAGGTAGGTTAGACTGAGAGTGACTGGCCCAAGGTCACCCAGTGAACTTCATGACTGAGTGGGGGTTTGAATCTTAGTCCAATACTCTTATCTACTACCCTGCCCCCTCAAGGAATTATGAAGAAAAGTGAATCCCATATATATATGGAATATATATATATATATTCCAATTTATAAGATACGTTCACATCATAACACTCCACTTTATGTCCCTGGCTCTTTAGAGCCTGTCAACTTTCTTCCCTCCCGCCTCATGGCTTTCAAAATTAACCTTTATGTCATTGCATTTTGTATGTTTTCTAATTCTAATTACACACATTACGAAATAGCTCAAAATTTAACTAAAAATATAGAAAGGTAGAGAATTTCTCATTACAAGTCTTCAGACAACCCTGCTAGTGATGTTAATTACTTACAATTCAGATATTGTGTAAATTTACTCCAGTCCTTTTGGAATGCTTGATCTTGCTGGTTTCGGATTTTTCCTGTCAGCTTCGCCAGTTCTGCAAAGCCCATCATCTTCATCTGCCGCTCTTCTTTTGTTGGTGCATCTTGTTGTTTCCATTTTGGGGCTAAAAGAATTCTTGCCGCAGTTGTTGCATACATAAACAGTCTTTTATCTTCACTTGGTATCTCTTCACCCACTATACCCAATAAAAAGGCTTCTGGTAAAAGTGAATTCCTTTTACTTGCCCCTGCCCCCACCTCCCCTGAAAATATTTGGCAGACTTAATCCACTATGGAGGGACTCCTCAGTGTGTACATTTCATCCACTTTAGCCAGAAGGAAACACTATAAGCGTTTTGAGAGTATCTGTTATCATGAACTGGGAGCACTAATCAAAGCAGAGAGAGCACAGAGGAACTCAGAAACAGATAAGAATTTCTAAAAAGCACAGATACAGATAAAAGGCATGTCTTGGAGCCTGTGCACACCAAGACAAGTCCCTTACACTTGAAATCATGCTTAGTCATTCTGCTGCCAGTCAAAGGATTTCACTGTCAAGAGGCACAGGAATTCTCAGTCCTAATAAACAGGATGACCTTGGTTAAAGACACAGCTAAACCTTTTTCAGGCATGGGACAAAAGATCCCAGAAGGAGCCAATGATAAGTAACATGATATTTGAGGAACTGACCCCAATCTCTGGGTAATGACCCGTATCTTGCACATTGCTACTACAGAAAGCTCAGGGAGACGGAGGACGAGATTCCAGCATTGATAAAGGTAGTAAATGTAGCCTTGCACCCGAGAAAATAAATTGGTTACTATTGATTCAGCAAAACAGAGCTTCATCAAGTCTGCTTAAAAACCTGGAGGACACATAGGTGAAATTGAGAAAACTGGTGTTTTAATCTAACTAAACGTCACCCACTGTAAATAAAAGCATCTTGGAGGATACACTAAAGCAGGGATGAGAAAGCGGTGACCTCCTAGATGTTGTGGGACTACAATTCCCATGAGCTGGTGGTCAGGGATGATGGGAATGGTACTCCAACAACATCTGGAAGGCCACAAATTCCCCATCCCTGCACTAATGAAAGCATGCATTCCACGACTGGTTCCAGCTGCAAACTTGATTGGTGGCAGAAGCTAGGCTGGCAAGCTGCCGTTTGAAATTTCACACAGTGCCCTGGAGCAACACTACAGATCGACAATTTTTTCTTTCTTTCTTTTTTTGCAAGCAGCTTTCCCAGTATAATGCGTTTTTGTAAACATTCATTGGCAGGAGGAGGACTGTGCTAGAAGATTCAGAGACGTGCATATTTCCAACGATAGCTATGTTTTAGTTTGCATATTAGTCAAAGGTAGCCTCCCTTGATGGAACGTGGGTGGCGCTGTGGGTTAAACCACAGAGCCTAGGACTTGTCGATCAGAAGGTCGGTGGTTCGAATCCCTGCGACCGTTGCTCGGTCCCTGCTCCTGCCAACCTAGCAGTTCGAAAGCACATCAAAGTGCAAGTAGATAAATAGGTACCGCTCCGGTGGGAAGGTAAATGGCGTTTCCATGCACTGCTCTGGTTCTGGTTCAGAATCAGCTTAGTCATGCTGGCCACATGACCCGGAAGCTGTCCGCCGGCTCCCTCGGCCAATAAAGCGAGATGAGCACTGCAACCCTAGAGTTGGCCACAACTGGACCTAATGGTCAGGGGTCCCTTTACCTTTACTTAGCCTCCCTTGAAAATGCAAACAGTGTCAAATCTTCCTCCCAGTTCAAATTTAGGGGATAAAACTTTTTGGAGGAAGTTTCTTACAAGAGACAGTGGCCCTATCCTGTCCTACTTTACAGGGCAAGCTGGAGAAGGTGTGTTTTCTTTCACTCACCTGGCTGTTTTGTAGGGCAACAAAAGAAGGAAGTTAATATAAAACAGCCCTGTACCAGCTATCCATCCATTAGACAAGGTGATCTTATTCATCTCATTCAGGAGATGTTGCTATTGTGCCTTAAATGACAAAATATTGACATTTTTAAAAGAATTATTGGCTGCCACTGGAATGCCAGCATATCTTACATTGAGCTGTGAAGCCAGGCTGCGTTCAACTCCAAGGGTCATGAAATGCAGGACAGAATTAGCAGGCCTCAAGCATAGATAATTGGCATCATGCACCTATTCCAGCCTCTCAAAATAATGTTTTGCTGTTTCCCCATGGAAGAAAAATCAAACCAAATGCAGTTCTTAATGCCAATGTTCTTGGCATGGCTGGAAAAGATGTGTTGAATTTGGAAACGGAGAGGTTTTTCACTATCAGATGCAAAATTCCAGGGAGACAGGAGCACATTTCCAGACTACAGCTTTTGGCAAAGAATTTGAAGCTCTTCTACCATTGGGAGGTATTCACAGATGTTAAAC